TGAGAGTATTAAATATTATTGCTATTATATATATGTGTGTACATATATGCATATGTATATGTGTATGTATTTGTATATCTGGATAATATTTGAATATATACGAGTCTATATTATATACACTATATAAGTTTGAGTGCCACTTATGAATAATTCTTTCATTATTACAATTGGTATAAATTGAGTTATTTAGCTAAAGCTAAAGCTCAGAACTATAATAGCTGTAAGCAGAAGGTCCAAGTCGTCAGAGGTTTTAAGTTCGTAGTAATTTGTAGTTTAAGAAAACTTCAACTAAAATGAGAGGATGAAGTATTGTATATATTATTGCATATTTAGTAGTCTACAGTTTGAGTGAGTTTTGTAAGTTATTCTTTTAGTACTTCAATTGGCATATATTGAGTAATTTTAGCTGAAGATTGTATCAGTTTTAATAAAAACTCAATTACAAGGAGAACATAATTCATTTTATATATATAGTGTTGTGGATATATACGAACCCACGTGTTATATTATTACATAAGTTTAAGTGAGTTTTGTGAGTAATTCTTTCACAATTACAATTACTTTAAATTTAGTAAATATTCGCACCCATCTAAATTGCAGTAGCGACCACCAATATCATTTACTTTAAAACTATTGTGACGATAAAAAGTGTTTCAATAAAGTGAAATAATAAAAACAAAATAATATAATGTGAATAAAAGAATTTAATGAGAACATTAATAATAACACATAGCTCAATAACCACATTAGTTATCGGAGATATATGATAGAAGTTAAAGGTTTTGAATGAGTATTCTTACTGTTGAATATTATAACTTTAAGGATTTAAAACTGATTTTTATTTTTATTATTGTGATAATGTAAAATTTTAGTGTTTGTGTCTATTTTTTATTATAATCACACTATTATCCTCTTAGAAAGTTTAAGAAACTAATTAAATCTTTATATAAAAACTATAACAAGTACTTATAACAAGTTGAAACCTAATTGCGAAAATCACATTTCGTTACATTTCTTATATAAAAGATTATATAAATTTTATATAATCATAATACATTTCTCATTAAGAATTTTATATCTTTTGACAAAAAAATCAATTTTAAAAAGAATGGAGTGGAAATAGTGAGAAAACTATCAAAAATTAAGAAAGTGAACAATTGAATGAAAAAACTATAATTTTTGTTTGGAATTCTTAATTTCTATTGATTAAAAACTCGGAATGAGTTTTAAAAATATTCTAATCATACCAGTATATCATTTCTTGTTAATATGGTGTGATGATGAAATATGTTATTTATTAATTATTTTACTATTAAAATAAAGTGACTCATTACTCACTTCGACTTAGATTGGAGTACTAATAGGATCCAAGGTATGAGTATTTTTGTAAGGAAATAAAAAAATGAGTTTAATTTTAATCATTCGCCCGTACTACAGAACATACTGTGAAAAATTGAAAGTGGATTTTTATTATTATTTTAATATAATGTGATTTTAAATAGATGCAGAGATTATCGACATCAATATAAATAAGTATTGCTGACGCGAATTTTTGATTATTGGCTCACCGGCCTCAAATCAATTATAATGGATATTTCTCAAATTTTTTAGAATGGCATTAGTCTACAGAAAGATTGAATGTAATTATGGCTTATTTTATATTTTTCAAGTTAACTATGTTAGAAATAGCGACCCACACATTAGAAATTATGATAAATCTCAAAAAAAATTTGACACTTGAACGTCTCAAAAAGGCAAGTTCGTTGTGTTACTAATCTTAAGACATTTTTTGTAATTTCTGGATTTTGTCAATATTCTTTTATCCTTTACTGTTCCATAGTTCGATTCCGAGCAACCAGATTGGTTTGATATATGAATTTATAGTAATGTGTTTTACATACAGAGTTCTGAAAGTCACGGTATTTAACCTGGTCATTTTGTATAAGTAGAACTCCGTTTATCCTCATCTGCTGGCAGATTTTATGGTACGTATAAACGTATATATTCGTTTACTTTGAAGTCTTTTAAGTTGAAATCTAATTGAGAATAAGCGACTTAAGGGTAAGGGTGTTAACTTACATTTGCGTCAACGGTGAATGCGGAAACAAAGGTATATAATTAAGTAGACATATCTGCTGTATATATTAGGTACTAAACTGATTCAAATAAGCTGTCTTGTGGAAAATCCAGAGAAATTTTTTTTTAACGGAATACGTAATAACGTAAGTTTATATATAATACAAAAAATCTGCGAACATG